ATTAGTTCACCTCAAAATGAAAATTTCCAGATAATTTACTCACCCCAATGCCATCCAAGATGTTCTTCAGTGGAAAAGAAATTAAGTTTTTTGATGAAAACATTTCAGGATTTTTCTCCACACAATGGACTTCAATTGCAACCAACATGTTGAAGTCCAAATCAATGCAGTTTCAAAGGGCTATGAAGAGTTTCAAACGGCTCTGCACGCTTCCAGCTGAGGAAGAGGATCTTATCTAGCGAAACGATCGGTCATTTAAAAAAAAAAAAAATTTTTTTTTTTTTTTTATAATATTAATAAATTAAAACAAAGATGTCAGACGATTTTGAAGTTGGAGGAGAAAACGGGAGAAAATTAGATGGAATTTTTCGCCCTTCCCTGACTTTTTGAACCGGAGTACACAGACAAATAACTTAGATAGATGACGTGACGCGTGACGTTTCCAACGTGATGACGTAAACCCTGGCGCGTCGCAGACCAGCACAAGATGAACAATTGTGGTTAAAAAGTATATAAATGTTTATTTATTTTAGAAAATGAACGATCGTTTCGCTAGATAAGACCCTATTCCTCAGCTGGGAACGTGCAGAGCTGTTTGAAGCTCTTCAAAGCCCTTTGAAACTGCATTGATTTGGACTTCAACATGTTGGTGGCGCTTGAAGTCCATTGTGTGGAGAAAAATCCTGAAACGTTTTCCTCAAAAAACTTAATTTCTTTTCCACTGAAGAAAGAAAGACATGAACATCTTGGATGGCATTGGGGTAAGTAAATTATCAGGAAATTTTCATTTTGAGGTGAACTAATCCTTTAAGTGTGTTAGAACCTCACATACAATATGATTACTGCTGAGATCCCATTGGATTATGTCTTACTCCTGAAGACAAAGAGATGAATTGTCCCTTCTCAAAGAGCAGTGATTCAGCAGATCTCAAGGTTATCCGGAGAAGTGGACACATGAGACACTAGTGGAGTTTCATTTTAATGTGGGACAAAAATTTACTCTTTTATATAATGCCAAGGTATGCAGGTGTAGAAAGAACAGAAATCTGAACCATACAATTACTGGGGCTGAAGGAAGAAAGAAATATGTTATGTTATGTCTTTTTAATGCATTGTGTGTGTGTGTGTGTGTGTGTGTGTGTGTGGTCCTGGTAAACCCTACGTTATGGGAAAAAAATGTAAACATTTTTCAGTGATCTGCAGGTTTATGGGTATTTCAAATTTTCTAATTTATTTCTAATAACCTTGAAATATTATTAATACAATACTTATTTCTTATGCCTTTAACTGAATGCATTTCAAACACTTTTTTCACTAAAGACATGTATGATACATGACGCTATTCTTCTATTTTTCCCCTATTTTCTTATGTCATTAAAGAAATTACATAATTGGAATACAAATATTTAACAATCCAGATATGAAGCATTTGAGAGGATCATTTGAATAATTCCACCCTGTTACAAGAAAAGTGCTTAAAAAAAGCCCCAGTCTCTCTTGTACCACACAAAACATGATGCCATCTAAGACTCCACCTTCCATCTTCTCTTAGCAGTATAAAGAAGGTAGAAACTTTATCTCTCTCTCTCTCCCTCTCTCCCTCTCTCTCTCTCTCTCTCTCTCTCTCTCTCTCTCCCTTTCTCTCTTTCACCGTTTCTTCATTTAAGCAGGACTTCAAGTCTGAGGACAGCTCTAATATCAGAGCTAATTTTCAGCGTTTAGTCCTGGATACCGAGCACCACGGTCTGTGAAACTGCACATAGCAGAAAAGCACAATGGCTTCAGCCGGCCTGGAGATCCTGGGGATGATCCTGACTGTGGCGGGGTGGCTCGGCGTGATGGTCGCCTGCTGTTTGCCCATGTGGAGAGTAGCGGCGTACATAGGCCAGAACATTGTCATCACACAGATCGTGTGGGAAGGTTTGTGGATGAGCTGCGTGGTGCAAAGCACAGGACAGATGCACTGCCGAGTGTACGACTCCATGCTGGGGCTGCCGGACGAGCTGCAGGCTGGCCGCGCTCTCACCGTCGTAAGCACTCTGCTCGGGGTGGTGGGCATGGCTCTGGCAGTGGCCGGGGCAAAGTGCACCAACTGCACCTCAGATGCAGCCAGCAAGCCACGCATCATGATGGCAGCTGGGGGCACGTTCATAACCTGTGGGCTGCTGCTGTTAGTGGCCGTCTGTTGGACAGCTAACGGCATCGTCATAGATTTTCACAACCCGCTTCTAGAGGAGACGCAAAAGAGGGAGTTTGGGAACTCGCTGTACTTCGGATGGGGTGCCTCCTGCCTGCTGATCCTAGGTGGAGCCATTTTGTCTTGCTCCTGCTCCTCAAAAGCACAGAACAATGCCGTGCCGACAAGAGTGGACTACTCAGGGGTCAAATCCCTCTCTGTGAATGGATACGACAGGAGAGACTATGTTTGAGGGCTCTGAATCTTTGCACATGAAGGACCTCCTTGAGAGAAAAGCCAACAAGTCTGCTAAAGGACAAGCATTCAAATGTCAACAACAAATTAACGATTGATGCTGAATCTTGAATACCAACGTGGCAGATATAAAATAGTATTATTGTTTTTGTTTTCATTTGAATGTATTCATTAATGTCGCAAGAACTAAGTTTAATTGTAATTTTGTCTTTTGACCCAGTCGCTAATAGGTGAATAATCAGTAGCTCTTTGACTCACTGAAATGATTATAATAGATGCTTTTCCATTCAAACTGCAAGATTAATTAAATGATCAATGAACATGATTTTATTGAAACAGACATTGGTCCGTTTATTAATAAGTATTTTGCCAATTTTGCTAAATAGGTAACAATTTATTTTGATGGTCCCTTTTGAACATTCTGCTGACTATAACTGCTTTGCAACTACCTGTCAACTAGCTCTCATTAGAGTATTAGTAGACTGTCTGCTGAATTGCTGCTATCACTTTATTGTGATGGTCCTCCAACAGACATTATGCTGACTATGAGTAACTTTGCAACTACATGTCAATTTATTCTACTAACCCGAACCCCACCAGTCTACTAATACTCTACTCTAATGAGAGTTAGTAGACATGTAGGTGCACCATTACTTATAGTCAACAGAATGTGTTAAAGGGACCATCTAAATAAAGTGAAATCGCTAAATGCTAGATTTTGTCCAAAATAAAAAAATATTGGTGGATTACAAACTAAAGTATACATCTGAAAGTAATGAATTTATTTGAAGGAAAACATCAATACATGTTTTTTTTTTTTACTTTTTCACCTTTTCCCCTCAAAGTCTATCAAAGTTTATAACATTGAATCATGGAGGAACTATGTAAACAAAGTACTTGGAAAACTCAGAATATAGAGTGAAGCAAAGAGTGCACTTTATCATCATTTGAAATCAATCCTACTCTTAAAGGTCTACCACAAAAATAAATGACACTCTCCCAGTTGTGAATGGAGACAATGCGCTGGTTGTTCTGGTAAATCTCGAAACCTCTTTGTGCCTGATTCTTTAGTCAGGAGAGCGTAACTGAGACTACCATGGAAAGATAAACGCACCTGCCTTATTGCTCAGAGGATGCCTAGATAATTACTCTTTTTACTCTAGTGTTTGGTAATTAGGAAAATATGTAAAGCTTTAGTGGGTTATTATGCTAACCTTCTTTTGCAGCTCATTAAATATTATCATTCGAGGTACTGTAACGGTATTTTGTTTACTGCTCGATAGTTCACCCAAAAAAGTAAATTCTGTCAGTAATTACCCTCATGTTGTTCCAACCCCGTAAGACTTTCGTTCATCTTCGGAACGCAAAATAATATATTTTTTATTAAATCTGAGAGCTGGATCACTCCTCCATAGGCTTCTAAGGTATTGCAACTTGCCAGCCCAGAAAAGTTATTAAAGACATCGTTAAAATAGTCCAAGTGACTACAGTGGCTCAATCTTAAGTTTATCAAGCGACGAGAATACTTTTTGTGCACAAAAAAACAAACAAAAATAATGACTTTATTCAACTATTAATTTCCTTCTGTGTGGGCCTCGAGTGAGTTCACGTAGTGTAACAGCTTAGCGCTTCTGTGTTGTATGGTTCTGGTCGCTTGATAAACTTAAGATTGAGCCACTGTAGTCACTTGAGGTTGGAACAATGAAAGTCTTACGGGGTTGGAACAACATGAGGGTGAGTAATTACTGACAGAATTTTCATTTTTGGGTGAACCATCCCTTTAAGTAGAAATATTGACAGATGATATAAAACAAATGTGTCTGAATGAATTATTGTTTCATGCAACAAAACAGCAATTTTAGCGCACATTAATGCAATAGAATTGAACGTACATTTGCACACAGAAAAGATGCCCATTCCACTTGTTTCTTAGTAACATGCTCCTAAATAAATAACCACTGCAAAGGTTAAAGCAAGGTCACAAGACGTCGCATACCTATGCATGACTGATTAGAGTGTGAGTGTGTGTATAATGTGTGTGTGTGAGAGAGAGAGCTGAATATGCCTATTTGGGATGCTGTTTAGATTAGATTGACTCTGTTATTGTGTGGCCTTGTGGAGCTGATAGCAGCTACAGACATGCTCTCATGCATCAGTGGACTTTATTGCTCCTTCTCAAGTGAATCCTGAAGAATCAGCTCCCGAAGTTGAATTATCAATTTCAAACGAATCTCTGCTCATAGTATCCAAACAAAATGATGAAACCTTATGCTTGTGGTTTACTTGCTTACACGTTTCAAGCATGCATTCTAATCTCATACCGTTGGAATTTTTCTTCAAAAGTGTGGTCTTGTCGGTTATCCTTTAACCAGTCCCCGCTGGGCTTTTGTTATCTATCCACTATTTGGTCTCGGAGTGGGAAATACCAGATGAAGAGAGTTAAATCATTAAACAAACTCGTTTCCTAGCCAAGGTTAAGCTCACTCAAAAACCAGCACAGTTTAGCCAATCCCCCGAGACTTTTTCCAGCATAACTCCACCTTCCTCACCGTTGCCATTATAAAGCCTTCATTGTGCTGAGAGCCTTTCCTTAGCGAATGCAACCTGTGAGTTTATATCCTAGCACGTTCTTCCAGCCTAAGTGATCAGAATGGCAGCTCTGGGGTTAGAGATACTAGGGGTCACCCTGGCTGTGTTAGGTTGGATTGTGGGCATTGTGTCTTGCGCTTTACCCATGTGGAGGGTCACGGCTTTCATCGGGGTGAACATTGTAACGGCGCAGACCATATGGGAAGGAATCTGGATGAGCTGTGTGGTGCAGAGCACTGGCCAGATGCAGTGCAAAGTCTACGACTCCATGCTGGCTCTCAGCTCAGACCTGCAGGCGGCCCGGGCACTGTGTGTGATTGCCATCGTAACGGGAGTACTGGCGCTCCTGCTCTCTATTTTAGGGGCCAAGTGCACTAAATGCCTAGAAGAGGAGCGTGCCAAAGCCAGAGTAATGATCGGCGCTGGAGTCACCTTCATCTGTGCTGCGGTCATGCACTTGATCCCTGTGTGTTGGTCTGCTCACAGTATCATCAGAGCCTTCTACAACCCCATAATCATTGAGGCACAGAAAAGGGAGATAGGTGCGTCTCTCTACCTGGGATGGGCGTCCAGTGCCCTTCTGCTCCTCGGCGGGGGCCTTCTCTGCTGCAGCTGCCCCCCACAGGAGGAGAATAGGTACGGTCCACCCAGCAGGATGGTTTACTCCGTTGCACGTTCTGTACCACCCAGTGGCTTTGACAAACAGAATTATGTGTGAACAAACGTACTCTTTTTGAACAGAAAATGTGTTGACACAGTACAAGACAATGTGCAGTGAGTTCTGTTGGTTTGCCACTCAAATGTATTTCCTAATTTGCTGTGCTCTCTTTTGTTTGGTGGTGTTACCCAGTTTATTCAACCAGTTTTGAAGAATTGCAAGTATTACATTATTACTGAGCACATCTATATATATGTTCATAACTGTGCGTGTAAATTGATAATGATGTTGTAATTATTAGTATTGTGTTTTTACTAATAATTAAAAATTCTCTTCAGTTTTTCAATATATTTTTGCAAACATTTCAGTACATGTGTTTACATGATGTATGAGCTCATGTTCTCTTAAGACTTATTTTCTAAGTGTGCCACTCTCTGTTGTTTGCTGCAGGGTGTTTTTTATTAACCAATAAGAACATAAAAATAGTTGTTAAAAATATAAATAAATTTTTATTGCATTTTTTTTTCTGGTTCTAACTAAAATGCACTGAACAAACTGACTGTGCCATCTTTGTTGAGTTACAGAACCTTTCATAGCCTCAATAATGAGGTGATGAGTTGAGTCGGCTGTCACTACCTTGTTATTCACCTGTTTTCAAGATCTATTCGCTCTCTGCACAAGAATCCTGTCTTTGTCAGGGCCCTAATCTAACTGTTCAAGCGATTCCCAGACAATGGGCCTGTTTCAGGGATGAAGATGAGGCGCTGGGTCATGGAATGTAACAAACATCTCTTTGTGCTTCTTACATTTAATAATGGATCTTTGAGAACATGATCCATGCAGCTTAAAGATCAAGGATTCTACAGTTGAGTATTATGCCATCCATAAAGTATAAGACAGAGCTTCCTGTTGACATGTCAATATTTAAACACTTTGTGGCATGCCTCTACAAATGAGTGATCATAGAGCAGCAACTGCATGAAAGCAAACAGATGTGCTGCATCCATATTCTTTCCCTATTTACCACTATATGCATCAGCCATTTTGTAGTGCCGTCCGAATTCCAAGGGAACAGTTTTTATTTCCTATATTTGTGCACTCTGATTTATGGGGTGCAACCTATATAGACTTGCAGTGATGTATTGCATCTAATGCAAAGAGGACTGACAAGTTTTAAAAGAAATGCATGCCTCTTTATTTCACACTGACATTCTTTCAATTGATAACTGGTTATTTCACTATTCTTTTTCTTGACTAATTTACTGAGCTAATGTATTATTGTTATCGGAGGAAAAAATATTTTGTGGATGATTCAGTTATTTCCTTTAGGTAACATATTTGTCTAATCATTGAATGCTGTTATGTCACTTTATAAGTGCTTCATGGTCTGATGTTCTCTGATCATATGCTACACTTCTTGGAAAATAATGTTTCTAGATACCAACATAATAAATTCAATCATTCAAATGTGTTTTTTATTTATTTATTTTTATTTATCATATATTAAAGGTGCTCTACGTAACTTTTAGCGGCCTCTAGTGGTGATGTTTCAGATTGCAACCAAATTTTACAAGAGCGCTCGTGCTCGAACTCATAGACAATACCGTCTATTACGCAAATATCTCGGCGAATACTTGACGGATTCGGCGAGCACCGAGCTCGTTGGGACCATCTAGTCGAGCTGAAAAGAACCATATAAGTTCCATAGTTTTTGGTGGTGTTTTCGCGGAGATATTAGCAGAAAACCATCGGGCGCGCTGCAAAATTGCGGACGCCGGTGACGTCACGATCTCAGAAGAAAATCGCTCGTATCTCTGGAACACAAAGACCCAGAGAGCTCAAATTCGGGGGAGGAGGTCCCAGGGGAACCCTTGCCCGAACGCTAGAGTGGCGGGCCTCGGGGATGCCCCCTACCGGATCGCCGTTCGCTGGGACCCCGATTTCGAACGGCTATAACTCGGGGAGCCGGGCGAGTTGGACCTCGGGGGTGGGCTCGTTCGAAAGGCCCCGTCCAGCACTACGAACGATTAGAGTCTTGGGAATATTGATCAAAGATTGACTGAGATATAAGCCGAAAAACGTGCGCCTTTAACTGGACGTAACTCCCTGACCGTCTACAATTGACTGTATATAAGGAGAGAGGCTCGGGAGCGCGCATGTACGTCACATCCGTTGGATTTCGCGGTTAATCCGACCCGGAGACTTCACATAGAAATAGGAATACTGGCCTTCAGAGGTAATAGCAAAACTCGACAAGTGGATCATTTTAATGTGTGATTACAACCCCTTCACACACAGGCAATAAAAAAAGGATTCATTTTAGTAGAAAAGTTACATAGAGCACCTTTAATTATTATTATATTATATCAAACATGACAAAACCGAACAAACATTTAGAGTCCTCTCTGGTGCACAATAATTACATCAACGTCTAAAAATGAAAAGATAGATATTGCACCTTTTGTAATTCTAATTTTGGACTACGTATATGGCGTTTAATATACAAGGAATGTTGATTGAGGGAACAAGCTATTGTCAAGATGTTCAGATGTTGTTAAAACCAAACATCAGATTTAGAAATAGAATATTATTCAAGGGAATTGATCTTGGAATGACTGTAGGTGCGTATTTCCTGGAATTGTCATGCACAGTAGTCTGTGAAAAACAAAATAACTAACAAACAAACAAACCATATACAGTGAGCTCCACTTCTGCGGATGAAAATGCCTTGTTAATGAGAGACGTCTGAAGTTATAGAAGAAAAGGCTGATTTTCAACCAATTTCCAGCTGTTGGCCTCATTTCACTGTAGAATCAGAGGAAGTTGGTAGATGTGCATGCGTCTTTCCTGCATGAGTTAATGTCTTCTTTTTTTTATCAGAGCCAGTGGTGAGGTGAGGTCTCATGGCCGTTACGGTAACCACTGTCCTTCTGAACCAAACACTTTGCACTACAAATGCAAAGCCACATTGCAACCATTAGTTCAGAACAAGTTTTTTAAAAATGTTTTTGCTCCCTGAATCGTCATTGACATATTACACAGCAAATGAACATCACAAACATTCACAGTGTATGCTATATGAATTGCATCCTAATTCACTCCATTACAATAGTTTATGTTCCCTTTCCTTGTGCTCTTGCTATTTTGGAAAGTTGTTTTACATGTGTAGTCATAAAATCTGCAGTAACTGTGATGGTCCAGAATGTAAGGAATCTTTCCAGTGCCTTGTTGAATCCATGCCACAAAAAGAAATCAGGCTGATACTGGGTATCAGAAAAATGTGCCTAATAAAGTGCCCATATAGGCCACCTGACTCAATAACAGTGCATTGGACTGCCTCAAGAATGTGAGGAATGACAGCAACGTTCCAAAATATTTATCGTGTGTTCTGAATTGTTGATGCTTGGACACTGAGTTTGAATAAAATTATTTTTTTCTTGTTTCATTGGTACATTTTTAAGACTTATTTTGAAAAACATGATCTTGTTCTCCTTTAAAAAAAAACACCCTACACAAACTATTTCACTGTTTAAATGCTGAAAACACAGAAGCAGAGATACAGGAAGATGGCAGGCAGATATATGAAAATCATGTTACCTTTGTTTAATCAAATTTAACCTAGTTTAACACAGATCATGTCTTTTAGTGTTACCTGGCAAAAGCTCTGCATTGGTTTAGCAAGAGATCACCCCTTTAAAACATTCTGCAGTGATAGTTCCACAGAAACACCCATGCTTGCTGGTGCTCTGCATCTTCAATCCACAGGAGCAAGTAATCAATTTACACAAACATCAATATGTTGAAGTTCTAAATCCCTTATTATCCACAATTTTTCTACAGTATATCTAACATTTGTCAAGTCACCTTTATTTATATAGTGCTTTATACAATACAGATTGTTTTAAAGCAGCTATAGCTTTACAGTGATAACAGGAAAATTATGCATTTCGGGTGTTGTTCAGCTGAATTCAGAGCAGTCTTGATTCAGTTCTGTTGTAAAGATCATCAATTATCAAATTAATTTCATCTATAAAGCAGTTCTGCAAATAAATGTCATCGTCCAGCTCAGTTCAGTTCTCATACAACAGCGTCAATACAGTCAGATCAATAATATTGTTGAATATTAAAGTATTATTAAAGCAAGAACTTATGCACAAACTTCTGTCTGAAAGGGTTGCTTAATGTATGCAATAAATCCAACACAGCACACACAAAATCTTGTGTAAAATGAAAAAAGGGATCACAAATTGCTTAGAGCAGCATCTCACATACATCACATGTTATATCCATGGGCAGACCATGAAAAATCCCAAATTCATAGAGAGAGAATGAATTACATTTTTGAAAGAAAGATCCTAACTAGTGTCGAACCAAATTGAACCGTGGCTCTTAAAGGCAGGTGAAGTGCGGTGCAGTTTGCTCTTGCACTGCCTGACAGGCAGGTCTTGTTCCTGTAATATACAGAAGGTCATACGGACATGGTAACTGTAGTAAGAAGCGTTTGCTTTGACACAGAAAAATCTCAATCTTTTTAATTTGTTCGTGGTATTTAAATCAATTTATGGCTTCAATATAGCCTGGGTTTCCCCATACTGCCTTACCGCAGCGCGATTCAATTCACGCTGAAAGGCAGACCATGGCCAGATTTTTCGCCTCATTTAGGGAACCAATCACAGAACGGGGAGGGAGCAGCAAGACGATGACGCGTCTATGCGACACACCGAAGCAGTTTGTTTATACCTATGGATCAAACATGGCAGTAGACGCGAAGTTACCTTTCGATGCAGCCTTACGGCCGTTTCACACCGCAAGCGTGAGCGGCATTTGAGCAGCGCGTCAGCGTAACTACATCGTCACTGCAGCTGCAGACGCGCGAGAGTATTCACACTGGAAGCGTTTGTACAGTGTCACAGCAGCGGCTCCAAAGCTACATATCGTTAGCCTCATAGCATAATTGCTTAAGTCATTTTGTGTTTTTTCTTGTTTTCCAAAGACATTGAAATATGACTTCGGCATTATATATAAGCGAGCAATTCTTTACAAAAACAACTATACATTTGTTTTTAGAAGTTGGTCATTTTATAACATTGATAGTCTTGAAAGTTTGTAATGGGGAGGTGTACAACATTCGCATATAAGTTAAATGTAATACAACAAAACAACCCAGAAAATGGCTCCAATCTATTAGT